TCATTCTACTATTGATCACAAATAATTTTGATCTACTCCGGAGAAATTTATACATTTTTCATATGAATATAAACGTATTTTACATCAATTTTTTACGATACAAAAATACATTCGTATAATATATTCCTATCGATAAAACTGATTATTAATTTGATAGTAGTTTTATATAACTTATTCTCTCTGTGATACTTGCGTAAGTTTTTCTATGATTTCTTTTCTTTCTAATGTAGACAATTTGTAAAGATGAAGTGGCTCTCATTTTCACTGTCATATTAAAAGTTTTTTGAATAAAATTTTTTAATTATATTATTTTTAATTAGTGAATTATTATTAGTTATGATTATAATGATAGACGATTATTTTAAATGATGTGGAAAATTTTCTTTTTTTTATAATAGTAAAACATAATACTACAAGTGTACTTATTCTTACTAGAGAGAACAAAATACAATAAGTCAAAATTCTTGATCTTCGAATACAGTTGAGTATCCACTTTAAACTATATATCGAATGGAATTCGTTAATATGTATGTCATCACACATTTTCTTTGTAATACAATGTTGTTTCGTAATAAATAACTTGAGACAAGAATCCTGTTTTCAAAAAAACAAAAAAATAAAAATCGTAACAACTTGAAAAATAAAGAATAAACAATAACAATGTGTACGTGTGTATAAGATACTATTTGATATAAAATAAGTAAAAAATAAATTATAATATGCTGATATTTGAAATTCTATTGAAAGATATTTAATAAACTAATTTATATACGTAGTTTGAACAATTACTCTCATTCTTCTTTTGTTTCATTCCTATCATCATCATTAATTTCTCATTAAAATCAGATGTTTATGATTATTTTTATTATATATGGTTATAGTACAAAATGTCAAGTACAAAAGATGACACAGGATGAACAAAAATATTCATTCTCTACATACCACTTTAGTCTATGTGTACACATAATGATAGAAAATATTATTCTTATTTATAAACACTTGCTTTCTACTGTATATTAACGATGATCTTCTACATGTATGTATAATATGACGTTAAACATGATTATGCATATACACACACATTTCAAAAGGTTTCTTTCCGATGAGAGTAGAATAATACGTAATGATGATAAACAAAAGTGATAAAAGAGCATAAAGACTGACTTCTTCTTCTTCTAATTATTATATTACTAAAAAAATTTAGAACTAATAAAATATTTAAACATTTCATTTGTTTCATTTAAAAATTATTTTATTTATCTAACAACAAATTGTTCATTCTGATAAGAGACGAATCGCAGTTATTTTTTTTTAATTATGCTCGCCATCTTAGGGCAGACTTTAGACTTTTATGGATTTTAATGGACTTACGTGGACTTTGACAGTCTACCGATGTTCAGAGTACAATGAACTTTTTCGAGTCTAATAAAGTCTGTAAAGACTAGAAAGGTTCACATAAATCCATCTAAATCGATATAAGTCTACATACATTCAGAAAAGTCTTCATAACTCCCTGGACTTACATGGGTTTTAACGGACTTTAGTCTACTTTTTCCTCCTTGCACCATCTTCTTCATTGAAAATTTGGACAAATTTCTTTGCTTTCTTCGATAAAACAAGAATTTAACTTTTTAAATTAGATCTAGATGATCTTAAACTTTTAAATAATCTTTAACTTTTTCGTTTTGTGATGTAATCGACGAAATGTGCACGCTACCTTGACACAAAAGAATACTTGATCCGATATTGTTTCAATGAAAACCAAAGACTAATGAGTAGGTTTTTGTCTTTGTTGTTGGAATGAAAATAATATTTTATTTACTGCTGTATGTTAGATAATTGATTAATGAGTGAAACATATGTTTTCTCTTAAACGTTTTGAATGAGTGCGTTACTATCTTTCTTCTCTTCTGTTATCTTACAATGATCTAATTTGTTTTATACAGGTGTTATTATTACTATTATTATTAACATTATTATTGTTGCAATTAAGAAAACTAAACTTCGATTTTTCTTTTTATTATGCTATTGTACAACGTTTTTAAAATTTATCACTTTTTCTTTTTTTTTGTTAAATAATATCAGAAAAATAATGAAAATTAGAGAGATCGATGAAGAAAATGTAAAACAAGAACGAGATCTCACTCTTTCTATGAATGAATTAAAAGATTGAAAATAGATTGTCATATATGAGGGTTGAACATGTGTTAAATAAAAACAAGATCAGTGTATAGTTTTCTTTTTTCACAATCAAAATCTTATATATATATATATATAAAGAAAGAAAAAATATAATTCAATTTGAATCTAAAAATAAAATAGTGTAAAGAAAAAGATTATCAAATATACAAGGGATATTAAGAGAAAATGAACTATACAAAACGTTGTGTTTAACGGTAATCGAGTAAGTGTGTATAAAAACGTATATTTTATTTGATTACATTTATTTTGTTCATGAAAATATATCGTCTTAGGATAAAAAAAAAACTTCTTGTGATACATTTTACGGTAATAGATAAGTATTTCAGATAAACATTTTTGTGTTAAATATTGTAAATTATTATTACATAGTTAAATTATTAAATATTTTCATACTCAATTATTTTGTAATCGAGTTTATAAGGTCATTAGGAAAATTGATTTTCTTTTCGTTTTTTTTTTTTTTTTTAACTTACATTAGAAATAAACTCAATTTAATGCATATTAATCTACGAACATCATAACAAATAAAAAAGAAAGATTGAACGATATAAAAACAAGAAAAAAAATGTTAACCTCAAAAAGCATACTCTTAGTAAATTAAGTTTTAAGTAATATTAATTGTAGCCTTCAGGCTAAAAAAAGTGATGGTTTTCTTGGACAATGGAAAAAAAATATACTTTTTCTCATTTTGATTAGTGAAATCTAGACAGTTTCCTTTAAAAATAAACTGAAGTTAGACAGATATACAAAACGAAACTTATTTATAGAAGTAAAGCAAAACAAGTAAAATGTTTCGCATTTCATTGTATAAGAGTTCTGCAGAGAAGGAAATGAATTACGAAAAGTCGATGACTCTTACCCGGTTCCATTTTGAAAGTTGATATTTACTAGATGTATTTTATATGTAAAAAGAAGCATGCAATTTTAAGTCTGATACGCTCTAAAAAGAAATGCGACTTAGGATCAAATGAAGTCGCATTGATGTGTCTTATTTTCATAGAATAAGGTACATCAATGCGACTTCATTTGATCCTAAGTCGCATTTGTTTTTTAAAGTGTATTATTATTAATCCATATTGTTTACAAAGATATTTATGTTTCTTGACTGAACTTTCCCTATGACTTTTTCGTGGATATATTGATACTCTCTCGAACTGAATACTCAGTAAGAATAAACGCACGCTGTTGATTTACTAACAATTTTTAGAAAAACACTCGGCTATATCAAGTTAAGTCTCTTCACTTTAATAATCTATAGGGTATCCCAAAAAAAATACTTACTTATTACGTTTATTTCTTGTGTACAAATATAATTGATCTTTTTACTAAAACAGTAGTCAATTTACGGACGATCTCATACCACCAAAATCAGCAAAATCAAAGAGAAAACAAGAAAGATACGCTCTTAGGATCTTCCGTAAACTGAATGCTGTTTTATGAGAAAAACTCTTAGAGAGCTCGAAGACGTCTCATTTTGTCCAGAAATCTTTGCTCTACTCGATTAAACCGATGATAAAAAGATCAATTATGTTTGTATACAAGAAAGCCAATAAATACAGAGGGGTTAGGTTTTTTTTGGGACACCCTGTACTTTTTGTTCTTTACATTAACGCTTTTTCATAATTTTCTAAAAACTTTCCTTGACGATATATATATTTTTTCTCATTGCATATTCTCGAACCATCAACACACATAAATATAGGTTTTCGACTATGCTGTTTCTGAACATGTTTGGCATATTGTTTAGCATATGTACATGGTATTTCAATGAAAAAGCAACAGAAGCAATGTTTCCTGTAGAATGTTGCCTATTAGAAATCGAATGTATATAGGCATGTATACTGATAAAATTTTTTTTTTGAACGATTCAAGAAATTTATAAACAATGAACATAAATGTCTCTATATAATATGTCTGTCAGATTCAAGATAGTCGACATCCTAAGGTAAAATATCTTTATCTTTTTTTAAAGAAACAACTTCTACAGAGAAAACAACTTATTTCTGATTTGTCTCGAAATCGAATATCGTCTTTGTCATTTTCAACATCAGAGTTTCAAAGATTTTTCAGAGTTTTGAGATAAAATTATCATTTTTAATAGGAAGAAAAAAAAGAAAATTTCAAAATATGACTTCGAGACGTTGTAGTCTCAATTTTATTTCACAAAACAAAACCATTCCCGAACGTTGAAGCATCCAAAGGGAAAGAGAAATCTTTAAAATGACAGAAGCCCTCTGTTGGCCCCTGTTATATTGATAACTCTCAGATCATATGAGATGTATATTCAGAATTTTTAGTGTAAAATATCTATGACATACTCAAATATTCATTGATTTCTGATGATTCGTGTCTCTCACAATCTCATACATATTTTTTTACCTTTAAAACTTATGAGGTTTTATTTTCGTGTAAACGTTTAGACTTTTAAGAGTAGCACGGAACATTTGAAATAAATTAACGTATGTTAATGTTGGTATTTTTAGAAAAATTATCAATTCCCTTAGAAACAGCAAAAAATGTGTTTAAAAGAGTTTCTCATATTTCTTTTTAAAGTAAGAATAAATGAACAATTTTAGTAATAAGTAGCGTGTTCCTCTACTAAAACTGTTTTTTGTCTTATTTTTTCAACGTTTACGATTGAAAATTTTAACCAGTGACTTTTTAGTCACACATTTTATAGCGTTAATCACAAGATCTTAAAACTAAACTATTTTAAACTAATATATTCATATTAAATTCATTATAGTTTCGATATATGTTGTTAGAATTTGAGTTTTATATTTTAGAATTTAATTCTAATGGCTTTCTTCAAGTCGCTGATATTATTTGTTTGTCTATTTCATTTGTATAAAACATGTCCATTAAAAACGGTTAATATTCAAACAGGTTGTTATTGTGGAATAGAAATTGATGGTACAAATTATATTCATTGTCATCCATATTCTATTTCTCAAATACCATCATTTTCTCGTTCATATATTTATGATAAATTAAATATATCATCAAATTATATTCAAATTATTACCAATCGTTCTTTTATTAATCTACGAGTACGAAAAATATATTTAGAAAATAATTTAATTCGTACAATTGATAGTCATACATTTGAAACAATTGGAAATTATTTAGAAGAATTAACAATTCATACTATAAATAATAATCAAGATTTAACTTTTTTATGTTATGGTACATGGAAAAAATTACGTTATCTAGAATTAATTGGTTTTAATATTTCAATAACAACAAAAATGTTACAGTGTTTTCAAAATTTAAAACGTCTAGAAAAATTAGTTATTAAAAATTCAATTGTATTAGAATTATCTCACTATTTTTATACATTACCAATGTTAAATGATTTAATTCTAACAGATAATCAACTTGAATATTTAAAAATAGTTGATAATAGTCATCAAATATCAAATATAAAAATATTAAATTTAACTAAAAATTTACTCTCAAATATAAGTGAAATATCAAAAATTTTAATTAAATTTCCTAAATTACATACACTCGATTTATCTTATAATAAATTTTATCAACTTTCTCAATCATTACCAATAAAAAATATTAATTTTAGTCATAATTATATTCGTCATTTAACATTAGATAATACTATATTATTGGACAATGTCAACTATGATTTATCATCAAATCAATTATGTACACTGAGTTATAGTAATAAAAGTATTTATCAGCAACAAAATCATCGTCATATTAATTTGTCAAATAATCGAATACATTGTGATTGTAGACTAGCTTATTTTTTTTTCAACAATGATCAACAATTATTATTATCATTAAAAAAATCACCACCAAATCTATTTGAATATGCAACATGTACAACACCAAATAATGTAGAGGGAAAATTATTAAGCAATTTAACATATGAACAATTATTATCTCATTGTTCATCATCATTACCCGATGATTGTCAAGACGTGTACGATTTTAATAAGATTAAAATGTTTGTCAAACATCATACTCAACATTCAAATAATAAAATTAATAATGAGAATATTCTTATTTCAAGTAAAATATTTCAACGATATTCAAAACCATTTAACAGCAGCAGAAGTACTAAAAAAATGATTTTAAAAGGTTAGTTATTTAAAATTCATTTTTAAGAATAGTTAAAACTATAGAACAAACAGTTAGGGGTTATGAATTCAGCTGTGTATGATATTAAAATGAATCATGTTTGATAAATTAATTTATCGATAAACTTGGAATAGTTCTTCCTACGTGCATCGTGCTTGAGAATAGTTTTCTCTCAGCAAAGAAGAGAGAAGTAGACTCTAATATTCTAATTTAACGAATTATTTTCTAATACATATTTAAAAGATTTGTTTAATTCAATTTTGTATGCTCTACAAAATGTTAGCCTTCATGTTTTTAGATTCAACTTGAACATAAATAAAAGGTAGATGTACTTTAAAGTGCAACCTGTTACACCTTTTTTACATTTGTGTGTTTCTGGGCGGAGAAATTAGCATTAGTGCAGATGTCCTGGAAACAGTGAACGGTTTAATGCTACCTATAATACTCACAACGTTGATTGTTACAATCCAGTCATGTTACAATATCTTGAAAAAGATTTTTTCAGCAATTTTTGAATGTTTCGAGAAAGAAAGCATAATTTTTGGAAAAATATTTAGAATTTGAGATAGAGTCTGAAATATCTGTGGTGTAGGTTGGAACTAATCACACAATGACAAGAAAGAGGATATTCTTAAGTGAAACCTAACCGTTACAATAATTTGCAACGATTAAATATCTAAATCGAGAAGTTAAATTTTACTTATTTCGATTCAAGTCAGAGTTAATGTCTCGCATCTAAAATGAGCATTTTATTCTATATCACAGAATGGACGTCACTATACGTAGACGTAGACGAAAGAAGCATTTATAAAACAAATTCATTCAATTTAAATCATGTCGATTTTAAAAATTAAAATTATTTCTTTTAACCACAATAAACTCGCATCATTCATGGAAAACTTTGACAATATAGTTGTCTTTTGTCTCTACATACGTCAGGAGAACGATTAGTAAGAGGATGGATGATCGCTGCTGAAGATAGAATCATCAAAATGTTTTGATGTCGTTCGACTTATATATATTCTCAAGTGTGATGAGAGAAAAGCTACAGAGTGTCGAAGAGTGCGTTTATAGTAAACATCAATTCAAGTTTCCTAGGTTTTTTATCTTCTGCGACTAAATAAGCGCTTGTAAAACAAAATTATTCAGTTCAATAGCGTCGAGTGTAAAAATCAGAATTAAAAGGTTGCCAATATAGATTGATGAGTCAAAGAGAAACTTGTTAAAATTAGATAATTGTATCTGATTTTTTCGTTAATTATCAGTAGATTTATGTTGATGACGTAAGTGAAAGAAGGCTCAGCTATTTCTGCCACACAAACTTAGAATAGAACTTCGTACTTTAGAACTCTTAGTGTTCCTCAATTTCCTTGGACTGTACGGATAGAAATTCCACAAAATTATCTTTTTATATCGTGTGTTTTGCTTCTAGAGACCAATGTCAATTCTCCTTCGTCATTGTCATCTTCTCTATATAAAAGTTCGTTGCAGTTAACATCATTTTACACTATCTATGAAAATAATAATTTGATTGTATTGTGGGATTATAATGATGATAGCATTATCCATGATATTACACAATTTCAAATTATTCTTGAACAAGAAATTATTGCTGATCATACAATGAATCCAAATGTAATTGTACGGCGAAGTGGTTCTCTATCATCGAATATAAAAAAATACATTATTCGACATGTACAACCAAATATGAAATATTTTGTTTGTATATCTATCACACGTTTTGGACATGGTACAGATAAATATTGTCGTGATATTCTAACTACAGTATCGTCTTTAACAACGGACTATCGTCTTCTTCAATCCGTTTCTACTTCATCAACAAAAATAGTCAATTCTCTTCTATGGAATTTATTATCAAATAAATCGGTTTTATTCGGTTTTTTCGTTGGTACTACAATTACCAGTAGTCTTTTACTAATATTAACATTAACATGTCATAAAATACGTAAATATCGACAAGAAAAATCAACAACAGCTAATTTATTTGAACAACATTACATGTATGCTGATGGAAATTATTCAAATTCAATATGTGAACATCATGATGAACAAAAATTATATGACTATTTAAAATATCAATCAAAAACATCTCGAAAACGTCAGTCATCATGTTTATCATTGTGTTTTCGAAAAAAGCTTATTAATCATCGACAACTATCAACAACATCGTTTCCCACCACATCAGATAATGCGAACTATACGACTTGTCGTGGTGGTGGTGATGATAATACGTCAGCTAGTACACTATCGGAAAGTGAACAGTTGAGTAAACATGTCTATCAAGAAATTGGAAATGATTTAATTGAAGGACACAAAAATTTTCAAATTGTTCGACACTATTTTGATCCGAAACATGAACAAACAGCACTTCGTCGACCAATACACATTACTATATTTCCCAATGAGAATAGTATTACATCTAAAACTAATTTATTACTTTAATTTAAGAATAAAAATTTGATTTGTTTATAGTTAATAATGTTATCAGATGCGCTTACAAAGAATGATCTCTCTGTGATGATGATCTCATCAGTGGTTTAGCAGACGCCTCTAGCATTAAAAAAATAATTAAAACAAAACACTATTTCAGCAAACAGCAGTGGTGATCCACAAAAAATGTCAGCCTAGCTTATAAGAATGGACTGACTAATGTCACTTTGATAAAGTTGAATTAATTGACAAAATTCTTATTAAAAATTTTCTTTGAGTATTCTTTTATTCACTTATATAATGATTGATTAAACGAAAAATTCCATTTAAATGATTATTAGTAGCGTATTAGATGGCATTTAATTGGCAATTAATTACACCGTTTTCAACGTCCTGGGATGTGACAATGTTCATCTCGAAGAGTCATCTCGTTTTCTTGAGGAAAAGAAATTTTTGAAAATTTGTTAATGTAATCAGAATAAGCAGCTCAATGGTGCAGAAATTCTATGCATAGAATACGTTTATAGGAGAGATATTCGTTTTTAGAACAATTTATTGTATGTTTTCTTCTCCTGGATTCGATCTTCTGTGCATGTTATTTGAGATCTATGTACAGTAAATGTCGATTGAACCTATACAACGACAAAATCTTTAGATTTGGTGCATTTTCCCATAAAGCAGAGTTATATCTGAGACTCAAAATGGGTAAAGAAAAATTTCAACTGTGCGAGAATAAAGCAGGAAGTATTTAACTGTTCTTATTCTGTCACTGGAACTGCTGTGTACCTACAGGATGGAATCAGTGTCTAAACTACCTTAACAAACACTGCTGATTCGATGCAGTACAGATGCATACGATATCTGCACTATTGAGCTGCTTATTCTAATTACACTAACCCAGGCCTTTCATCTCAGGCGGTATACGATCGTTTATGCTGAAATACGTCAAAATACGGCGGATTCTTTCTGGCACTGGTGCCCAGAATAATTTGAGTAAAGATTTATTTCTTCATATTTTTGTTTTACTCAAGAGATAGAATACTATCTGGAAAATATGAAAAGTTCAACACTTTTTCAATTACACAATTATTACAGGTACCACCTCAATTGGACTGTCAAAAATCAGGTACAAAAATGTGCTAAAATTCAGCAGAATTCAACAGATGGCTACAAAACGCTAGAACCGAGCCATCTTGTTCCAGTTTTCACTTCATTTAATAGAGAGCAATCTCGTCTATAACTTCTCTATTTGTCATTGATGTAAAATCGATCTCTGTAAGTCGGTGGAATATATACACATCTCAGCTGTTTCTATACATCACGTTCGAAAAAACAACGTACGCAGTGGCACGAAAGAATATTATAGGATCCGTTAAAGTATCTAAAAACGAACGAAGTCGGAGATACGATTATAGACATTGTTTTCCGAACAACATGACAGTTTTTTACTCAAGTTTTTGATGGAAAACCAACAACTTTCATTTTCTAAAGTGCCCAAACTTCATGACAATAATCAAAACAATCGTAGGATAATATACCGCTGGAATAGATTGAGCATTGGGTATGGCATGTATTTCGATCAGTTTTGTGAAGTCGATTGATCTGTTCAGCTTCAGTTGAATTCTGCTTTTGATGTTGTTCGATGTTTGTTGCTGCTGTAGTTGCCGTTCTAATTCTATTAGTTGTTGTTTCCACTGTTCGACGTCGTTTTCATGGTAGCCACTATTTGACTTTTGCACACGTAAAGTGTCTGTGAGTGCTTCGAATTTGCGCTTCACTTCTTCTTTGTCTTTGTT